CCAGAATTGGACGAACAGCCAGAAGTTTTCACCAAATTTACAGCAAAATCAAGAAAAATCTTCGTTGGGTTTCTTCTGTCAGGAAGAAAAATAAAATCCTGACCTGCACAGTCCATGGCAACTGCACTAGCCAAGGGGCCCTAAATCCGAAAGGTCAAAGACCTCCACACCTTCACTGCAAAAGTGGTCAATACAAAGAGTGATAGCAGTTTCCTGTGGAGGGGTGCTTGATCACACCAGCAGGCAGAAGTAGCTTTATGTGCGAATAGACAATGTTCCATCCATCCATTTATGAAAAACAAAACACAAAATTGACCATGTTCAACCTACTGCGAGCATTATCAGTTATAACTGTGGTCTGAATTCTCTGTGCCAATTATGTTGGCTCAAAAATGTTAATTGCACCAAAACTAGTGGATTGGACCTGGTGAGGGAGCTGGTGTGCACTATACACACCCACGTAGATATCTACATGTACAATTACATATATATACATTAGGGCTGTACGAATAGTAATTTTCACTATTCGACTGAATACGAATAGCCGGCCTTGCCGACTGGCGTGGGTGAATATGCCTCACCACAATCTGCGATCTCCTGCAGCATGTATTAGTTTGTGTCCTGACACACCTCCATGCCATGCAACAAGACTGTCAAGAATCTTCTCTCATTGTCTTCTTCTATCCATACTTCCACAGATCTTTCCAGTGGTCACCACATGTTCCATTTTTCATCTTCTCATAACCAGGCTGAAAAATAATGACTGTCTCCTTCTGATGTCTGTGATAAGTTGTCTTGTGGCTCCCACCTCTTTTGGCTGCTGAGGCATTGTTCTGTAAAATCACAATTTTGATGACTCAAGAAATTGTTTGGCCTGCCTACCGATTGTCCAGGACTCACAACGCATTGCCTTTAAAATATAAGTGCTTACTTGACAAGGCTAACAGCAACTATTGTACAGACCACATTTTCCACTTAATTTCAGCCAAAATGTAATCACAACCTTTCTTATCCGCTGCACCTTTACGAATACAGATGGAGGATCGGTCGCAGCTCGAGATAAATATAAAGACACTTTTTAGCACGCTGCTGCGACTGGCATTTTATGCAGTATGATACACTTTGAGTGTGAAACAAGGAAAAAAAACTCTTTTCGACAGTGGCGAGGAAAGACAATTCAAATTTTAACTTTTAAGCATCCTCTTGCCTTCTTTAATAATGTAACAATTTATACCCTTCTTTTCTTTATTTTCGCCACGGCACTCCTGGCATACACACCTAGTTTGAGAGTCTCTGCTGTAATGCTTCGGTCGAGTCGACAGGCAAAGACCTAGCCAGCTGCTGTACCACTCAACCGGGTCGCAGTTTCCCCCGCTATGACAGACTTAGGCAACAGCAAATATGTTAATGAGAGAGTTATTTCAGTCCATCGCAGTGTATGCAGAAACGGGTGTAAGGTAACCACTATTCGTATTCGGCCGAATACCGAATAGTTAGTAGGTCCACTAATCGGCCCCAAAGCGAATATTCGGTACTGCCCTAATATACATACACGTCTGCACTACCAAATGATCCAAGGAGTGGTAGTAACCTCAGGTGCAAATACAGAAAGGGAAGGGGATAAAGGTATTAATGAGCAGAGGACTGAATGTTTTAAAAATAAACAATAAACACACAGTTAATAAATAAACACAAAAAGGGTGAGAAACAATAAATAAAGAAATAGTTCAGAAACAACACAAAGAAAGAATTCAAGAACAATGAAAAGATGAAGATTAAGAAAAAAATTAAAACAACAAACATGGACAAAATTTAAAAAACAATAAAAATAGAAACCATAAATACAAAAAGAAGAAACAATAGAACAGAAAAAAAAAAGAAACATTAAACATAAACTGAATTCAAACAATAAACCTCAAGAATTAGGAAACAAATATTTCTTAAAGCAACGGTAATAATAACAAAGCATACTTTAAAAATTGTTTTATTTTGTCAAATTCTACTTTGGCAAGCCAATGCATAAAAATTTCAACATGACATCAATTTTTTTTTCTAACTGAAAGATCATTAACTCTTTCAGTACAGCTCAACTCGGCATGCATGTGTTAGTTTTTACTGATATGGTTTACCCTCCCTAACATTCTGCACGCCATTTAGGCGATATATTAACCTACTTTGCCCCAACTGTCACAATAATTCTTTTTCCTTATGGCTTTACTTTTTTTTTATATCTTCAAGCTCAAACATTTACTGGTTAAAAAACGTATAAAGACAGTGTTGAGCCAAGAATTGACATCACAGCCCTTGGGACATTCCCATAAGCGCTGCATCCTCATCTTTAGCAGCCAGTGAAAAGTCCAGATTCTGATAGGTGCTAGTTTCATTATATGTCCATTTTGCCTTTCCTCCGAGGTCAAATGTCAACCAGATTCCCCTGGTCACTCCTGGCAGTACCCTTCTCTCCAGACCATAATGACCTATTTTTGCCTCCACATTGTTCACTTCCTTCCAAAGGGCCTTGACCACATCTAGCTTGTCATGCGTAGATTCACCACCCGCTAGAGCAGAATCAGCCAGTCTGTCTGCCTGTTTATTTCCCAACACTTCTGCATTCCCTTGAGTAAATAACCAAAGAATGCTAAGTACCCGGGAACTGAAGCAATGTTTGCCACTCTACATGAACAAACTCTTTTGCTTCATGGTCTTTTAAACCTCTTGAAGCGAAAACGTTATTAGTGAAACTAACAATTTTATAATGAATTAACGTGCAACTCTGCCTTGGACTGAAAGAGTTAAAGAACATATAAACAATACAATATCAATAACATTTAAAAAAACAAGGGAATGAATAAATGATACAGCAAAACATTACTTATTTTTCTTAGAGAGACCCAAGTTATGTGATTTTGTGCACTCATGTAAATGTCACATTGTTCATTCATATCACGCGCTAATGAAGGCTTTTTAGCTGTAACATTTACTTGTCGTTTGTGATAATGTGAAGCACTAGTTTTCATTTGGTTTTATATCTTTATATATTACCCGTGAATAGCATTCGATAAACCTCAAAGTATTCAGCAGCAATGAGTTGTAGTTTAAAAGAGACATTGGGGGGGGGGGGGTGTGTGTTGCCGCCGTAGTGTAGCGGCTAGATGCTTGCCTTCAGATATGAAGGTCATGGGGTTCAGATCCTCATGGAGCCGGACTGTTTCAAACAGGACTTTGACTCCCAGGTCGAACCAGGCTTTGTTTGGTCTGAACAATGGATCAACATCATGACAAAAGGGTGGTAACCCAAAAGTGCTTCATTCTACCTCTAACTCAAGCCTGAGTCCAAAGAAACTTAGCACAGTGCATGAATTCCGTAGCACTGGTGAGGATTCTGAAATACTTTCGGTATATTTTTAACTCCAAATTTTTGCCCGGGCAGCAATGTTAGGGTACTCTTTTTGATTTCCAACCTCCAAGGGATTTTTTACGTGCGCAACAATATATAAGGGCATCCGGTCATACTATCCAGAAATCAGAGAAAATCCAAAGCTGAACCCGGAACCTCCAGCAATTGAGGCGGATGCCCTGCCTCGACCACTCAGCCCCCTTGACCCAGCCTTAAATGGGTAATAGGTAAAGTCCTTGGAAGTAAAGGTGGCCGGTGTGATGCTGACCACATCATCCACAGAGTTTCGATTGGTCTAAAACTATTGGTCTAGCATTATATGCCCAATTACACCTAATGGCGTTTAAAAGGGTTTTTATTTTTACTTTTACATGGGGGAGGATTAGTATAAGATGTATTTTATGCTAGAGCAGAGGAAAGAACAGATGAACAGGAGGCCCTTCTTCTAGGAGGTGTGACAAGGTGGGGAGAAAGCTCCAAAGAGTATGGATCGCAGAGTAACCTCCTTCCATTTAGGAATATCTGGAATAGATACTTGAAATATAAGAACATGTGTGAAATAGGAATGACAGCACAAGTGATAAATGAAATGAAATACAAGGAAAGAGCTGCAGAAAATAGCAAAAAATTAAATTGTTTGGCTTGAGTTGGCGTGTGAATAAAAATGAGGGAAAAGAAAATGGTGGTGGAAGAGAGGGAGGGGAGGATAAGTAGAGGAAACAGCAGCAACAGCACAAACACCCAGTGTTTCACAATGTATCTAGACTTCAACTTCAGAGTTACATGCAAGCATGATGTTTGCATTTAACTCAAAAACTGCTGCAGATGTATACACAACCAGCATGCTAAATGAAATATCACTGCCATGTGATCATCAGATGGAAGATGTGTGACAGAGATTAAGAGCAGAACTGGCCAGGCAAAGGCAGCATTTCAGAAGATAAAAAGTATCTTTTGTAATAAACCACTCTCATTAAACATCAGAAAACGAGTACTGAAATGTTATATCAAGCCTGTTCTGTTGTATGGCAGTAAATCTTGGAATGTGAGCAAACAAATTAAGAAGACTTTGAAGGCAACTGAGATGTGGTTCTTGAGAAGCTTGTTGCAAATACCTTGGACTGCCAGAATAACTAACAATGATTGCCTGGAAATGGCTAATGAAAGTAGAACATTATATACAACAACAAGAAGAAACCAAAGTTCTTTGGTCATGTAATGAGAAAAGGAGCACTGGAAAATATGGTGATGACTGACAAGATCATTGGTAGAAGAGGCAGAGGCAGACCAAGAGAAATTATGGTGGATGGCTTAAGACGGTGGCAAAAGAAATTGATCCAGAACACCAAGGACCGAGAGTTCTAGAAATGAATGAACACCTACGCCATCTGGCACGGCACTTGATGATGATGATGTGCCAAGGAAGACTGAACACCCAAGGAAGATTGAGTGTGTATGGATGTGTTTAGGGTGCAATCAAATTCAATTCTGAGCAAGTCAAATGCAATATTTATGTCAAAGAAACTTTCAGAATTACATTGAAACATTTGTTTACCAACTGTAACATAAAAATCAGAAAATAAGTTGGCTGAATGTGTCTATTTTATTCCGCCTTCTCCTCCCTCCCAACGAGGCCACGTATTGTCAGGTCATAGACCACTTCCTCGCATCGTTTGACATCATACTTCAAGCCATCAAATCTTTTACGCAGAGCATCATTCTTCAGGTTTAGTAACCTGAAGAAAACAAAATTAATACAATTTAGTAACACTAGCACAACAATGGACAATAAACACAAACTTACCACGGTTATTTTGTTTTTCTGTGTTCATCCTTAAAAGAACAGTTGGCATATTGTGTTGTGGTTTATGGCTAGGCTGTGATATCTGCATCTTTGACCCAACACATTCAATTTCAGAATTTCAGCAAATCCTTAATTAGATTCCTCTTATACGTGCTTGTTAAGGGGTAGTGAGATGACCCCCCGCCCCCTATGGAATTCTAGATCCCACAGAGTGAGTTCTTGTGATTTTACCTTAATAATTATACAATGAGGACAGTTCTCATTAGGAAATCAACTATTTTTCCTTAGACCCTGTCAGCATCCGGCCCACCAATACTCCCATAAAACCAACATCCAGTCCACCAATACTCACTTAGAACCAACATCCAGTCCACCAATACTCACTTAGAACTAACATCCAGTCCACCAATACTCACTTAGAACCAACATTCAGTTTACCAATACTCACTTAGAACCAACATTCAGTTCACCAATACTCACTTAGAACCAACATTCAGTTTACCAATACTCACTTAGAACCAACATCCAGTTCACCAATACTCACTTAGAACCAACATCCAGTTCACCAATACTCACTTAGAACCAACATCCAGTCCACCAATACTCACTTAGAACCAACATGCAGTTCACCAATACTCATTTAAAACCAAAATCCAGTCACCAATACTCAATCAAAACCAACATCCAATCCAACAATACTCAACTAAAACCAACATTCAGTTCCCCAACACTCGCCTAAAACAACCATTAAGTTCCCCAACACTCACCTAAAACAACCATTCAACACACACACATAGATAGGTCAAGCAGATGGAGCTCATCAACTGGTGACAGCAATCCATTTGGGAGAAAACTCACACACATCCACTGTCCAATTGAAAGGCATTTATTGACCATGGATTGAGGAAGCTCAACCAGCTGAGGTTGGAATTGCCAGGCCAAAAACCTGACAACTATGGCATCAAGTAAAACCTCTCTGCAGAGATAATGAAAAGAGGAAGAAGTTCACAATTGCTCACCTAAAACCTGCATCCAGTTCCCCGATGAAGTGTGAGATTCTCAGTGGTCGTGAATAGTCTCCAGCAGTCACTGCATTCATCGCTAGCCGGGACTAATTCCAAAAAACAATCAATAAATTTATTTATTTTAAAAAAAAAATGTATCACAGTGCAATATGGTCAAACATTTAAGTACAAATTAAATCTGAACTTTACCATTCTTTAAACAGAAAAAATAATACATTTGCATGGCTTAAAGCAGTGGCTCTTAACCTTCCTGATGCTGCAACCATTTAATACAGTTCTCTCATGTTGTGGCCACCCCCAAACAATGATTCTCCTTCAAGAACTTCAATTAATATGTGTTTTCCTATGGCTTAGGCGACCCGTGGGAAAGGATCATTTGACCCCAAAAAGGGTCGCTACCGGCAGGTTGAGAACCGCTGACTAAAGGTGTACTGTCTCTCAGTATCTATGTACAGTGGTACCTTGGTACATGTCCCGTTTAGACATGAAAAATGTTGCTTGATATACACCTTTTGTTTGTAACCTGACTTGTGTGCTAGAACTTGTAAGAGTTAGGACACTGTGCGTTAGTTTTGTTTACCTCTTTCAAAATCAAGGAAAGATTTACCAAATGCATGAATGTCAACCAGTTTGCAGAAAAGTATCACCAAAAACAAAAAAAAGCGTAACAGCATTGTCTGGAATGACCAGACAATGTCACATTTCAGAAACATGTCAAGGATAAGGCAGAAGTTAAGTTCTTTGGACATATTTTTTTATGAAAGTCAAACCAAGTCCAAGTAGGCAACAGAAGCAGGAGAAAAGACAGGAAAAAACCCCCACCAGATTTTCAGATTCCTGAAGTTTTATTGGAAGGGAACTCTCTGTGCAAGGGGGTCTGAGTGGTCTTGAGGTATGGTGTCTGCCTCGAGCGCTGGAGTTCCCGGGTTTAAGTCCCGGTGAAAGCTGGGATTTTTATCACGTGGACTTCTAGGAATTTCCCCTGATCTCTGGGTAGTAAGACCAGATGCCTGTGTGTATTCTTGCACACATAAAAAAATCCCTTGGCGGTTGGAAATTGAAAAGAGTAGCCTAACGGCGCTGTCCAGGCAAAATTTTGAGCTGAAAATTTACCCAAAGTATTTCAGGATCCTTGCCGGCGCAATGGAGTTTGTGCACTGTGCTAAGATTCTTCAGACACAGGCTTGAGTTACAAGTAGAACAGAGCACATATGGGTTACACCCGTGTGCCATGATGTTGATCCGTCAAATAAACATAAACATCCCTTCCCAGCTCCATCCTAGTAGGCACTCAACTCTTCTCATCAAGGTAAAGTGAGGTTAAATTTCCATTTATATCATCCAATTGCTTTTATATTAATGTATTTCAGTATTAAGCAAAGCAGTGGTTAAATTATTTTCTAAACTTCGCTAATGTATAAGTCAACAACAATAGGATTTTTTTTGTGGGAATGGACTGATCATTTCTTATGAGAAAATTTTGAGGGTAAATGTCCTGCCATCCATCACCTCTGAGGATATGAACCCAGGTCTCCTGCATAAGAGCGAAGTATTCTAGCCATCCCTCAGAGTTGCTATTCAATGTATAAAAATAAAATTTGGTTTCTATGCTTAGTTTGCATACAGTGCTTCAAGTATCCTACAAACATAAAGCAATTTCTCAACATTTAAAGAAAAGACAACAGTTAAACAGTCAAATATAAAACAGTATTCAACAGTTTAAGATTTTTTTTTTAAAGTTACTCGACAAATAGAAGATAAAATAGTAACTCAACTGCTGAAGATAAAACAGCAACTCTACAGCCAATAATAAAAACAATAATTCACCATTTAAACATAAAGCAAAAAACTTACGTGTTAAACATTAAAAAATAATTCACCAATTAAAGAGAAAACAATCATTCAATGATTACAAACATAGCAATAACTCAACAGACAAATACTTTGGGTAGATTTTTAACACTAGATTTTTGCCCGGGCAGCGCCGTTAGGTTACTCTTTTCGATTTCCAACTGCCAAGGGATTTTTTACGTGCGCAACAATATACATGGGCATCCTGTCATACTACCCAGATACCAGGAGAAATTATCAAAAGTCCACATGAAAAATTCCCACCCTGAACCCAGGACCTCCAGCACTTTGGGCGGATGCCTTGCCTCGACCACTCGGCCCTCTTGAACCTCCCCTCGACATCAAATAAACAATAACTACTTCCTCTTTTTCACTTTCTCTTTTTACGGCTTCAGGTGTCAAAGGAGATATAAGGTTTTGCCACTGCTCTGCTGGCCGCCTTGATCACAAACACACTGAGTTGCTGTAAAGAGTTTCTCTGATGTTATCTTTCCATCTTGTTCTTGGTCTACCTTGTATGGAGTAGCGTGACAAGGCAAACCACTTTATCTGCTGTCTTTGCATAGAATTTAGAATTCTTCTTCTTCTTCTTCTTCTTTTGTTCGCATGAAATAAATTGTCTATATCTGCAAAGCCATCTCTAGTATGAATTTCACTGTCTTTTGTAATTCCCTAAGTGGCCCGTAAAGTTTGACTTCAACAAGTGTCTCTTTTGGCCAAAGGTTTTGCCTGAAAGCGTTGAATCTGGGACAGTCTTGAAGGATGTGATCTGTTGTTTCGGGTGCCAGTCCACAAGTACACATGGCTGATTGGCCAATCTTAAATTTGTTGTACATGTGGCAGCAAAGTTGATTGTGCCCTGTTCTAAGGCGAAGGATAATGACTTGCTCTGGTCTGTCCATAATATGGTAATCATCTTGTGCCAGTTTCGGTGGCATTCTGATTGATTTGATCATTCTCTTCTTCTGTTGATAAGAGACTGGTATGTCAGGTTGTTCTTCAGTTGCACCTTCCTTAGCTAGTTTATAAGCTTTTTCGTTTCCGGGAACTCCACAGTGGGAAGGTATCCACTGCATTACTAATTTACAGCGGTTGCCTAGTTAGGATAATAGTGTCCGTATGCTTGGTGACTGAAGTACTGCTTTTGCATCTGTCAGGAATACCACTGGTTGTGAAAAATACCCTGTATTTAGTAGTTTCTCTACCGCTATCTTGATGGCTTGAACTTCTGCATCATAGTTGTGACAGTGCTGTCTGACTTCATCTCTTCTGATCATAAAACAATATATAAGATAAAACAATAACTCGCAAGCCAAAGACCAGACAATAACTCGCAAGCCAAAGATCAGACAATAACTCGCAAGCCAAAGATCAGACAATAACTCGCAAGCCAAAGATCAGACAATAACTCGCAAGCCAAAGATCAGACAATAACTCGCAAGCCAAAGATCAGACAATAACTCGCAAGCGAAAGATCAGACAATAACTCGCAAGCGAAAGATCAGACAATAACTCTCAAGCCAAAGATCAGACAATAACTCGCAAGCCAAAGATCAGACAATAACTCGCAAGCCAAAGACCAGGCAATAACTCACAAGCCAAAGACCAGACAATAACTCACAAGCCAAAGACCAGACAATAACTCACCAGTTCACTTGTGAGGTTGAGAACACCCATTAAGTAATCATCCAGATCAATGTGGAAGCCATCCTCTCTGTTAGTTTTTACTGAAACAAGCAGAACGACATAAAAGAGCAGCTCTTATCTCTATCTTCTATGTCAGCTGAAACACAGGTAATGTAACTTGATGGTAAATGTGACAGCTTTTTCCTTCTCAAAGATTAGATCAGATGACCGACCCAAGATAGGTTGGTGCAATAGATCAGATGACCCAAGATGGGTTTGTGCAATAGATCAGATGACCCAAGATGGGTTTGTGCAATAGATCAGATGATCCAAGATGGGTTTGTGCAATAGATCAGATGATCCAAAATGGGTTTGTGCAATAGATCAGATGACCCAAGATGGGTTTGTGCAATAGATCAGATGATCCTAGATGGGTTTGTGCAATAGATCAGATGACCCAAGATGGGTTTGTGCAATAGATCAGATGATCAAAGATGGGTTTGTGCAATAGATCAGATGACCCACGATGGGTTTGTGCAATAGATCGGATGATTCAAGAGGGATTGGCACAACAGGTCATGTTACCAGAGGGGTTGGTGTAACAGGTCAAATGACCCTAGATGTATTGGCATAACAGGTCAGATGACCCAAAAGGGGTTAGTGCAATAGGTCAGATAACCCAAGATGGGTGGGTGCAATAGGTCAGATGACCCAAGATGGATGGGTGGAATGAATCAGGTGAGCTGACTAATGTAAGAAGTCAAACAAGGTAGCCGGGTATGTGACTGGTCAAATGAGATAGCTTGGGCTGTTGTTTGGTCAAATGAGATAAGATGGACTGTTGACTGGTCAGATATGTCTAATCAGACGAGATAGGAAGAGTGGTTGATTGGTTCAGATAATATGGGCTGATGATTGGTAAGGTTAGATAAGATGGGCTGTTGATTGGTCAGAGGAGATAAGATGGAGTGGTGACTAGTCAGGTAAAGGAAGAATGGCTGCTGATTGGTCAGATGGGTTGGTTGTTGATTAGTCAGGTTGTCTGTTGATTGGTCAAGTGGGCTGCTGATAAGTCAGGTTGGCTGATGATTGGTCAGATGAGAGTGACAAATACTGGATTGGTCAAATAAGTGAGGCAGATATATGATTGGTCAGATCAGCTATGATGAGCTGTTTATTGGTCAGGTAAGTCTTACATTTCTCTAAGGTTGTTCCAAAAGCTCTAATTCAATCATCTGCATGGTTTCCCCTTGGCTCTACGTTCATTAAATTTCTTTATCATGGCTTTCTGTGGTAGCTCGTACCGATGCATTCTTTTCAGACTGCCGCTAAACCATTTCACCTGTTGTTCTTTGACGAACTGTGTAACTGCTTTCAATGAGTGTTGTGGTGTAGCAGCTAGACGTCTGCATGTGGATCCAAAGGTCACGGGTTCAAATCCAAATGGAGCTGAACTTTTCTCAAAAATGAAACTAGCTCCTTGGTCGACCTAACCTTTAATGGGTAAAGTCCTGGGAAGTAAAGACGGCCATTGTGATGTTTACCACATCACCCACCGAGTGCTGACTTTTCAATAAAATATAGGACTAGCACTTTTTATCCAATGCAGCTGAAAGCGTGGAAAAGGGTCCTTTTACTTACAGACTAAAAAACTTAACTGGCATGACTTAATGTCACATCTAGATGACACAATAGCTAAGACCAGCAAATGTGTGGTGCACCACTTGGTAGTAGCCGAGTTTTTTTTTTTAAAAACAAAGCATCAAACCAGTACCTCCCAGCATGCTAGCCACTGTTTCCCTGGACACGAGGCTCTCGTCTCTAAGGTAAACGATCAGTGCACACAGGTATATCAGCCTCTGGGTCACAAACTTCCAGTGGTCATTGTACCTGCAGGGACGACATAAAGATTGCGTTACTAGTGATATTGTGGTTGCTGCTGTTACAATGGTCGTTAATGTTACAATGGTCAATAATGTCACAATGATCATTAATGTTACAATGGTCATTAGTGTTACAATGGTCATTAATATTACAATGGTCAATAATGTCACAATAGTCATTAATGTTATACAAATGTTCATTAATGTTACAATGGTCATTAGTCTTACAATGGTCATTAATGTTACAATGGTTGTTAGAGTTACAATGGTCAATAGTGTTAGAATAGTTGTTAGTGTTACACTGGTGGATAGTGTTACAATGGTCTTTAGTCTTACAATGGTCATTAATGTTACAATGGTCGTTACTGTTACAATGGTCGTTAATGTTACAATGGTCATAAGTGTTACAACGGTTGCCACTGCTTCTGCTGCCAAATCACCCACCGCTAGAAGTGGAATAGATACTACAGGATTGCAAAGCCCACCTGTAGTACTGGTTGCTTGGAATCTTTGTAGCGAGAACAGCATAGTTTTCTTTAACTTTGCTGAACATCGACAGAGCTGACTGGCAGATCTCTTCATCTGAAAGAGAAAAAAAACAAATTACCATTTAAATGTGTCACTTTCAAAAATTTGTTGAATTTTCAACATGCATTTTAAGGGGGCTAGAGATAATCCCCCCCCCCCCCCCCCCCCCACACACACACACACACACACAATGGGACCTTGGAACCCTCACAGATGTTTACAAATAAACTGGCCTATTAAGTTGATTTAGCCTAAAATGGGTACCAGGAAACATCAAGGGAAGGAAAGGCAGCCAACATGATGTTGAGCATATCACCCAGTGAGTGCTGACTGGTGTATAAAAATGTTGGTCTAACACCAGATGTCTAACGTTAACTCTTTGAGTACCAGAAGGTTTTGCCAATATATATAAATGATTCATTCATTATCCTGTTGTGGCTTTACATGTAAGACAGGGTTGGAAATCTCTTCCCGAATTCCATTCTTTCCTGTGCAAACAGTTCAAGATCGTGGATGGAATCCAGTCCAGCGGCTTTGGCGTCTCTCATTAGCATCTGTCTTAAGGTTTCTTTTGACGTCCTCGCCTCCTTAATTCCTTCACTTCCCATTTTAATGCCCGAGTGGTGATTCTCTGCTGGCTTTTTCTACGATGTGTCCAACGTAGTGCCAACTTCTCTGTCTTATAATTAGTGATATCAGTGGTTGCCCAAACATTTCTCTTTTTTCTTCATTCTTGAATTCATCCCATTTCATTTTTACCATTTTCTTCAGACAAGTGTTTAAAAAAAATACATTTAACTACTGTTCCATGTCTTTAGTATTTCTTCAACTTTCACTTGCTGCATGTTTAAATTGAAATAACCTTCTTCTTCTTCAGCATTCTGAGCCCTTGAGGTTCATTGCTGCAGATATTACCCGCCTCCATTTATCTCTCTGGTTGGTCTTCTTTTTCCAGTTGGTGACACCACATTTCTGCAGGTCTGTCTGGACATTATCTCTCCATCGACTTCTCGTGGTCTACGACCATTCATCTCTCTTGTGTATACAGTTTTCACTTCTCTGTCATCTGACATTCTTTCAATATGCCTCGACCATGTCAGTCTATTAGCTCTCATGGTGCCAGTGATCAGTGGTGATTTAAACAGATTATGAATTTCGTTATTGCTTTTCACTCTCCACTCCCCGCTGTTTGCATCTTTGATGGATCCAAAGATTCGTCGTAAAACTTCGTTTGAAATAACATTAAAATTGAAAATATGTAACTTGGTTTTAAAACTATACAATTTAAAGTTCCATTTGTTGTTCAACCTATTAAAGCTGCTGATGCCTTGCCAATGTGAGATATAATTTATTTCTTTATATTTCCTTCACTATAAAAATTAAAATCTAAATAAGTAAATTGATCTGTTACTTTAAATACTTTAATCTCTAGTGTTACATCTGTTGTTAGCGTCTTTAAAAATTTAATTATAATTAATTACCATAAGGAAAATCCATAAGTGTATTTCCTCCAAAAAAAAAACAATCACTGAGGGAGAGAGATTTGTTTACTATGCTCTAAATAAATGTACAGAATATCTTGGACAAAGAAGATGAGAAATACTGACATCTTGAAAGATCTGAACATCAAGGAAGATTAGCTAATAAACAGCATCCTGTCTCGGAAGCTGAAATATTTTGGTCATATCAAGCGCCACGACGGATTGGAAAAAAATTATAGCAGAGGGCATAGTACCAGGAAGGAAGGGCAGGGGCCGACCAACATGAAGATGGGCAGAGGATATAAGTGACTCCTTGAGTATGAAAGTGTATGAGCCAGGAGAGCTGGCGAGAGACCGAATTTCTTTCAGGCAGACTGCGATGAGAGCGACGTTCTGCAAAAGGACCTGCTACATGATGATGATGATTCCCAGAAGAGCTAATCACAAATCGTACACTGTTGGGACTGAAAGAGATAATGACATAAAAAGGCTTTTTTGTTCTTCAAATGGCAGACAGAATAAACACTTACAGCCAGTACTTTTTGATGGCTGGTGTATTGCTTGCAGTGTCGTTTGTATCTCTCTGGCTGACTGCTCTAAATCTCGGACAACTGCCCGAATTTCCTGGAAAATATATGACAAATGCATTTACTAATATAATATAATTATCTTTTGTTGTGGTATGTTGCACACCAATTGTAGCTGTGTGGTGTTTTAACGGGTTACAACAGTGACATTGCAATCAGAATGATTTAGTATTCATTAACACTTCTTGTTTTCTGAGTGAAACGCTCATCAGAAACTTAACATATCATTACTTTACGTTTATTCCCAGGAAATCTTCTTCTTCATAACACTGATGTTCACCAGCTGTAAACTGATAAACTACAGCAGAATGTTCTGGTTGTTCTTAGGGTTTTAGTTTTATTCCAGAACCTGAGTGTTACAGGCAGATCTTACTTATCTGTATGCAGAATGTTGGTTCCTTGCCTGTCAGGCAGATGCACTCCGACGACTTTAAAGGAAGCCCCCAATTAGTTGACTCTATGACATGCCTGTTACAGAGGCAAAGGATTTATTATTTGCTTTCCCTACAATTTCTCAGAAAAAGAAAAAGATGAGCTGAGTTTAGCTACGCTGAGTTAAGAACAGATGTTGCAGCGCTCACATTTCCAAAATAGCTCCGTCCCTGCGTCCACGTCTTCAACTTTAGCAGCAGTTCCGTGTTATTGCTACCAGTAGACATAGTATAGTATTTCAAATAGAATTCTGATCTTTATATCTGGGTTGCCTTCCCCTCAGTTTTAAATTTAAGGAAAGGTTAAACCAAACCCCCCAACTGACTAAATGTTTTTTTTTCAAAAGTGTGGAATTTTAATTTTTAACACTACATGAAAGTGTATTCATTTCTGCACATAATAATCCATGTCTTGTTGCAAAATTTCAGCTGAAAGTAATTTAAATTAATTTTTTTTAAATCGGTATGGTAACTATTTATTTACTTAATTATTTTGGCAAAATATTCAAATTATTTTTGGCAAAATATTCAAACTGTCATAACTCAGTTATTTATCAGCCTATTTTAATAATTACTTCGCCCATTTTTCTAGAAATTGTAATTCTGGGATAGTCTACTCCCTGTAATCCATGTTGGAAGATACGGACTAGAAATAGGTTTGAGTGGTGCTGTTAGTACTGTTACTATATGAAATGAAGGGGAACTAGTCATGGCTAAGCTGTGGTACAGTGTTCCCACATTTCCTAGATTTGATAAAGTACTGAAAGAGCTGCCAAAGAAGGAAATAAAATGGTTAGGAAGATAAAAAGAGCAAGAAAAAGTATTGGGACAGCTGAGGAATACCCTGAGGATGATTCAAAAGCAGCACAGACTCATTAGGTAGAGGATTTTTGTAAAAAAAACCAGCTTGGTCAGTTACTTGTTCTCGATTTTCTCAAAAATAACTTTTAAAAATATTTTTTACTGTGTTATGCAATGATATCTTAAAACATTAGAAACATACTATCTCCAAACCTGGCACACATATTGAAGAATAACATTGTAACAGACTAACTAGAATGAATACACTCAGCAACTTGAATATTTTATGAGTTTTTGTCATTTATGATAACTCTTACCCCTAATTTTTTGGAAAAAACATCACTGTACCATTGAAGTGAGCATAACTTTTAAATTGTAGCTTCAGGTAAATTTCCTTTAGTTCATACAGTTTAAAATATAAAGCTAAATTAAATTTATGTGCAAATTTGGCTCTCCTTTCAATACCAGATGGTAGCTGGACGGCTTAGGTCGGCTTAGTGGGAGTTCTCTCCCTTGGCCGCATTGCAAACAAGGAGCGGGAAAAGTCACGAATCAAAGAAGACAGTGAGGTCGACATCAGGGCTGCCAATGCTTGGTTGTGTCCCCCAGATCTGGGGTTATTTTTGACGCTGCGGGGAAATCTGTTTTTTTGGGGTTTTTTTGCCGGTCTGTATGCTGTAATGACTGATAAATTTGCGTGGTTAGGGGTAGGGTTAGGGGTTGGATTAGGGTTAGGGGTAGGGTTAGGGCTAGGTTTAGCGTTAGATATGACAATTTTGACGCAGGAGTTCTCTATAATCGCGCACAGTCACATACACACCTAAACAGTCGACTGACTGTGGATGCTACTGACACTGACAATTCGCCACTGATTGGGCACCAGCCGCGCGCTATTGCCGTCATATTTGGCAGAATTCCAGTGGCGCCACTCCCACAAGCATCAGATTGTCTGCCAGTATTTGGAACTCCTACGTCAACATTTTCACATCTAACCCCACACTCACACATAACCCTACCCCTAACCCTACGCAACCGAATGAGGATAGACACCCTACGCAACCCTACACGCAACCGTATGATGATAGGTAACCCTACACGCAACCGTATGACTACGCAACCATTCACGCAACCGTATGATGTCTACACAACCCTACACGCAACCGTACTCAACCCTACACGCAACTGTATGATGATAGTTAAGTATGTCATTTGATTCGTGACTTTTCCGCTCCCTGGTTGCAATGCGGCCAAGGGAGAGAACTTCCACTAAGCCATCCAACTACCGTCCGGTACTGAAAGGAGAGCCGCAAATTGTCATTAAGCCACATTTGTTAGTGTTTTAAATATCTTCGTAAATTAGCGACTACAGTTTCGGAAATTTGCTATCTTTTCGACAATTTCCGTTACCATAGAAACCGTTTAAAACTTGTTTCGGAAATGTCGGCTGGGGTTTCGGGATGGGTCCTAATCTCTCATAAAATTTTGCCATTGGTGTGATTTTCACCCACTCTAAATAGCTGAAAACGGCGGGAAGGAACCCGATTAACAGCGCATGTCTACGACAGCCGGACATTCTCTGTTTTTCTGTTAGTCTATCAGTTTGATTGAAAATAGCGGTAAATTCGAGGTTGGCTTTAGGCTTAAACATTACCAGTTGTGGTAATGCTAGTTACAATTGAATTCTCCGTCCAATTTTACATTTGCATATTAAATTTTTTTTCCAGACTCTGGCTGTTTAGATTTACAGTGACATTTTTTAGGCAATCGCATGCAGCTGAGTGAGCTGAGTCTCACTGCCTGCCATCTTGTCCAATGACAGTCCAATGTCAACAAAGCCGATACAGAACTGCGCAGTAGGTTGCGCAGTGGAAAAACTTCTTGTTTCTGGGACGCAAGTTTTAGCGGCTGTTTCTTACATCTCATCTCCACAAAAACCTACATATCTCAGCTCAGAAATGACATACAAGCCTAAATGAGGTACCATTGGAAAGAGATTGTTTACAGCTATCTGTGCTGGTTTTATTGGTGTAGAGGGCATTTTAAAAATTTGACTGAAGTACCTACGTAAATGCTGAGAACTTATTTGGCTATTTTCTGTATAAAATATCCATCAATGTCTGTGAAAATATGTTGATTTAAGCCCTCAAAATTAAATTTTTCTTAAATCTTTAACTAGTAATACTAGCAGTATGTACCTACAGGAAGTATTGTTTCCAGCAGATATAATCAAATCAATTTGGGGGTTTAAGACTTTAACCTGTCCTTAAAAAATTTAAATGTGGGACAGACCCACTGGGTACATTTCGCTGCACCATTCTCTTCGTGATGATAAACCTATCTGCACCTCCGCAGTGGCAACTGACTTGACTTGGTCCCAAAGGTGAGAAACGGGAAAGGAAGATTCAAAGAAAGAAAGAAAATATTCAAACTCAAACTGAACAGTTTTAAGCCTGCCATGATATCTCTACCTCTCTGAGATCGTAATCTGCGTTGAGATAGTCCTGAAAATTGTTGAAAATCTCAGCCGTGCTGCTCATTCTTTGTGAGTAGATCTAGAAACCTCACCTTGCTGGAGATTTCTACGATATTTTAGCAAAACTACACTTTGATTAGTAACAACAAATCAAATAAAACCATGCAGAAAACACGCCACAGTACGGCTTGTTCGAGAGTTGTGGTTCAGTCTCAGCAGTATAGTACAGTGTTGCCACTTTTCTTTGACAAAAAAATCCAAAACGGAGTCCTACAAAAATTTAAAAACATCTAAATTTGCGTGAGAAACATTTAGAAAAAAACATCCAAATGAAAAGAGTAACAAATTACAAAACTATTGAAATGACTTAGCCTATAGACACATGTCCTCATCTTCACTGATGTCTGCCTCACAAGATCCACAGGATAAACTTAGCTTGGATGATGAAATTGAAGCTTCGGATCCAAAATGACTCCGGTATGCTATAGCTGTTCCAATTTCTTTTAATACACATTTAGGGAGCTGATAAGTGGAACAGCATTTCCTACTCTCATCAGGCCAAATTTTATTGTCAAGATAGCATTTAAGAGGTCTAATTTCATCCTCTTTCTTAGGTTAGATTTGATATAATTCATATCACTGAAAACTCTTTCTACGTCAGCATTTGAGTGGGGTAGTATCATGGCAGACATGGCACATTCAAAGAGCTTACAGAATGGACTGTTTGGTGAGTCATCTTTAAATTGTCTCAATTCACTCCAAAACGCTTCCGTTTCTGTTTTGTTTGTCCATTCAGCTAACTTTATTTTGGTTAACTGATATTCTGCTTCCGCGACACTATTATCAGTAGCCCCTAAAAATTTTATAAATTAACAATATTTAGCTATGTCCTTTACTGGCTGAAGTATGTTGCTTATAGAAAAGAGTGAAATATTTTTCAATACATCTAGATTTTCAGGAAGTCTCTGCTTTAGTTGCTTGAACAATGAGATAAGGAAATCTTGACAGCGTTTTCTTAAGTTGTTCTCTTAATTCTCTGTTAACAGTCCTTTTGTTTTTAAATCATCAATTTTTGATTCAATTTGATATCCAAGGTATGGCTTAGGAGCCAAATAGCTCTCTATAGTGCAAGTGAGCAAATCAGCTTTAGAAGTTGGCAACACCAGTCTTTTACCAACTGAGTAAAATAGCAAAGTGAGATCGTCAAGTAATTTAAATTTATCAACATGTTTAGATTCGAACAGTTTATTAACTTTTTGCACTTCCATTAGAATAGGTTATAAAAAGAGAAGGAATGCCAATTTTTTTCATCACTGTACATTCCATATAGAATTTCATCAGTGTAGCACTTTTCACTTTGTCTTGTTATTTGAAAGTGTGTCTTTCAACTCCAACCATTGGTTCACAATTCTTTCAACAGCTGGTTGTATTGATAACCATCTGGTTTTGCAATCTGACAGAATTTTCAGTGTCGTGGAACCACTATTTAAGGCTGAATACAATGCATTGTATTGCTGTTGTCTGACAAATGATTTGGAAAACCAGTTAGGTGTTTCAGCAATAAGGAATTCCAAATTCCTTGGTAAACATTTAGATAAAGCATGTGATAATGCTAGCTGCAATGAATGACACATATATTTTATAAGTACTAACGATGGGATAGCTTCCTTCAACTTGGCATAAACGCCATTGTTTATACCAACCATCACCGAGGCATTATCGGTATCAATTGCAGCCTAATTTGTCAAGTCTAACTGTTTGCTGATTAAAAGTTTCTTCAGTTCCTGAACTATGCTTTCTGCATCACACTTTTCCGATTGAACTAGTTCAAGATATGTAAAAACTATTTTGTCTGTATTGTTGCTGTAATATATAATACACACACCAAGCACTTTCAGTACCAAAATATCATTTGATTCGTCTAAAAATAAAGTATATTTATTCGTAGAAATATCACTGATCAAATCTTTTTCGAAGTGAGAAAATAAAGTATTTCTTATAATATGTGTACACTTGCTGCGATGCATTTTCACATCATCCATAACTTTACTGCCAGAAATAGTGTTTTTAAGCAAATCAATCAAATGGTCACAGTTTGAAAGGGCACAGTGACAACTTAAAAACATTGCGACCGATCCTTCAACTTTTGATGATTCATTTATCAGTGTAGTTCTGAAAACAGATGTCAGCGGTGTAATATCTTTGAATGGAAGTGCAGTTTTATGGTTTTTAGTCTCTGCATGATTCTTTAAGTCTTGTATTTTTGCTTTAATTTCACACTTGCAGTACTTATAACGAGCCTTGGTCATATCCCGAGGAACTGCCCTCAGTGCATCACCCAGTCTTCAATGTTGTCATCATGCAACCACTCTTTTCGAAATTGTTGCCCATACTTTACTTTTAGCATGTTAAAAGTGAAAGCCACATATGAAAGTAAGCAGTTATTTTTCAAAAATCACATGAAAAAGAAACACAAAGTCAGCAACACAGCTATAATTCACAACACTGTGAAGATACGGTTGAAACACAGTATGATTTACGCGCGCTTTTGATTAATCAGCACCGGGGCTGCCAGATATTTGAGTGTTGACCCCACTGAGAGTTCAAAGTTTAAGTAATGGCATTTGTCACAATGTACGTGCCAGACCAAAACAAAAATGTTTTACACAGTAATTATTAAATTGTCACTGAAAGAAAAAACATCTATAAAATATCTAGCTCCATGTGAAAAGGGTCTAGAAAAACATTTACCATCTAAACGTCAAAACACCATCTAAATGCAAGGGAAAGGATCTAAATTTGAATGTAAAACATCCAAAGTGACAACACTTGTATAGTATAGTTTATATTTGGGGTATTAAATTAGGCTGTGAGAACTAGTCACCTCCGGAAGTAGAATTGGTTTGGTTTGAACAACCGATTAACATCACGAATCATAGTACAAGGGTTGTCACCCATAAGTGCTCCGTTCTACTTCTAACACAAAGAATGGTTACACTTTGTGTCACCGGGTGTTTATCGCTCAGTGTGGTGGCATAGGGGGGTAAAAAGCCTCTAACTCAAGCCTGGTCAGAAGAATCTCAGCGCAGTGCACGAACTCCGTAGCACCAGCAAGGATCCTGTAATACTTTGGTTATATTTTAACTCCAAATTAGTTGTAGAATTAAAAGCTGTAGAAAGACGCGCGACAATTATTATTCCTTTAATATCTGCTAACTGGAAAGATGTTGCAAAAAATACTGAAATTAAGAGTTCGACCAATACTAGAACCAAAATTACGTAAGAAACAGTTCGGTTTCAAAAATGGAAAGAGCGGCATAGATGCAATAGTTCTAAAGCAGCAGATATGCGAGCAATCTATTGAATATGATAAAAGCAGACACCTACATTTTAAATAGATCAAGAAAATACATTCGACCGAGTCTATAGATGCAGTCTATGGAAAATTGTGACAGATTATGGTATTCAAGATAAACTGCTGGGTAACCTCGTGGCTCTTTATCAAGATAATCGGTGCACAGCAAGATATTGTTTAACACCGCGAAAACCGAGGCAATTATGGCAATTATAAAAGGCCGAAAACATATAACATAAACGTTCATGTTAAATTTGCTGCAATCAAACAAGTACGAGAATTCAAATATCTAGAAAGCATATTTATAGAAAATGATAGACTCGACACAGAAAGAAGTAAATAAACCATGGATGGGGGAGGATAGGGGGGGGGGGGTTGCATTAGCCTCTTTTTATTGTCTACTGGACGGAGATGTCAAGGGGCCTTAGCCTTGTGTAAGTCTGTGATAATAATTAGTTTTGTTAGTAGTAGTTGCTCTCGCCACAGCATGCCTGAAAGTCTCTCTTTCTGCAATTGATTCTTTAGCCCTATGTGCTTTCATAGTGAATGCATTTCCATGTATTGTATTGCTAAGGTCAGCCGCTGCTTCATTTTTTTTCAGAAAAGTGTACCCTCCAACGCTGTTTTTCCCCCGGGCCGCCATGACGGTAAACATGGCCAAAATACTTCACCTTCAGGGACAGATGTTGTTGATGAGCCAGTTCTCCTCGACGTTCAATTCATCTAGGTTAGTGATGTTTGTCTTCTTCTTGATCCAAAGTATTCTTAACAATTTTTCCTTGAACATTTCAATTCAAGGGCTCCTATGTTTTTTTTCCATGACTCACATCCATAAGATACATGATTCCCCCCCCCCCCCCCCCCCCCAAAAAAAAAAATTTTTAATTTCACTTTAGCATGTTTGCAGGTGTTAAAATGCCTCAACCACAACAAAAACAACTACACACAAACACACACACACACACACACACACACACACACACACACACACATATATATATATATATATATATATATATATATATATATATATATATATATATATATATATATATATATATATATATATATATCTTCTACATTAATAAACATGTTAATTTTCCGATGTCGTTAGCTCTAAACTCGGAAACTGCTGAACCGATTGCTTTCAAATTTTCACACAACGTTGCCTCTGACTCAAAGCGTTATTTTTTGTCATAAAATCGCACAAACCACGAACGTAGCTCCAGCAAAGGTCAAATCATTATTTGTTTCGTTGCTTGCCCGGATTTATTTTTAATCAATTGGCAGTATCTACGCTTTTTTTCTGTTCGATTTTAGGGTTTACAGCTAGCCTGCAATAGCGGCAACGTGATGCTCAATGTTCATGTCACGGGTAATATTCGTTCGCCCTTGAGAGGGCGGTTGGTACGTTGTGTTGTGGTTTAAAGCTAGGCTGCGATATCTGACCTAAAGTCTTCAGTCTTCGGTAGTAGAGTATTTCGCCCTTCACGTGGATAAAGGGTGTTCAATTCCCCGTTGGGTGCTAATTTTTCTTTTTTCCCTAAAGGGCGATTGGCACGTTGTGTTGTGGGTTACAGCTAAGTTGCGACACCTGTTTTCCTTACGCCCAAAGACATCCGATTTAAGTACAGTCCAAATTAGCTCCCCCCCCCCCCCCCCCGACGCTTCAGGCGATCAAAAACTATTCGTTAATGACAGAAACTGTT